CAAAGCCTACTACAAAGTTTTAATGAAAATATGAGATGTGTATAATATGCAAAGTAATTTATTTATAGATGCATTTTTCTCGAAAATGGTGCATCTGAGCAATTCAAATCAAGAGTACCTATTTTTCGTAAAAAACTATAAATTCTCATAATTTCATAAAAAAAATTAAATTATTAACCCAGAAAAAAGTTGGGGCTATTTTTGTAACTTTGCCCCCTCCAAATGTTACGCCTATGATTAAATTTTAACAGTTTTGATCATAGATCTAGATTCAGCATGTCAAAATTACCAAAGTACCTACCGAAAATTCATTTGTTCATGTTCAACCCTCTAGGAATAGTTTTAAAAAAAATATCCTCTTAGGCTCCTATTCAGGGGGCCGTAGCTCCTTTAGGGAGCATTTTTTGATACATGTTTATTAAACAAAAAGTGTTATTTTTATAAGAATAATGCACTGTTTAAGTTTGGCCACCCGTATAATGATAATTGTACCATAAATGTTAAAAAAACGCGAAAATTCGATGGAAATCAAACTTTGGCCTTGAATAACTCTGGAAGGAATCAATTTATAGAAAAATGATAGGAGACCTTTTTTGTAGAGCGTTAAATTTACTATGAAAATGATGATCCTTGACATAAGTTGATTTGATTCAGACGTATAAAATTTCAAAGTTAAAAAAAAAAATTCCCATGTTATTTAAATGGGAAATAGAAAATTGCGATCCGCGACCTCTAAATCTTCAAATTAAAAGCTAAAATTTTGACGAGGTCTTTGTGTTGACATCCTCTGAAAGAATTTGCCGACCATTTGAAGAAAAAGAAAAAGTCGATTTTTTTGAAACACCCTAATATATCTATATATATATATATATATATATATATTAGTTAATTTTATACACCTTGGTAAATTATAGTAAAATAAAATAATGTTTGCACTAAATATTTATATTAATAAAGTACTGCATTATACATCAAAATAAGCCTACACATTTTGTGTAGTACACAATGCAGACAAACAGGGTTTGCTGAGATATGTCAATTTTATTAGCAAGGCAGACATATTCTTCAAATTGTTGTGGCAAATAATTTATATTAACCTCTAGCAGTGGTAAAAAAACACCAATTTTTTTTAAATGGAAAGGGGTGTCTTACGACACATGATTGTTAAGGTCTGGTAATTACTTAAGTACTATAAAGCTTTATAGTCCTATAATATAAAGTCAATATTTATTTCCATAAAAAAACAGTTGAAGCAAACTTATAATTACATTAGCTAAAAGTGTCTAACAGCCTAATTAAACAAAAGTTTAATAATGAACTCATTATTTACGTTGTTATAGGCATTTGCCGATTTCAATATTGACTGTGATTTGAACCAATCGGGTTTTAAATTGGGAAAAGGCGACTATAATAACATTTAAAATTGTAAAAAGTGAGTTTAAAAATTTGACAAATTTTTTGACAGATTTTTTAAAAATTTGACAGATTTATTTTTAAAAATCATGTAACTAACTACTTATTGGAGTAGATAAAGCCTTATTAAACTAAAGTTTAATAATGTCTTTTGAGTAAAAAAGCATAAATATTTGTTAAAAAAAACACAATTAAAAATTACTTTTATTTGTTCAAAATAAAGGGTAACATTATTCGCCAAAAAAGATGTCCCCCTTGCTGATTAACCTGTTCCAACATATTTTTGTATTTAACATTTTAGCTGAGATATTAAGGGTGGTACGTTTTCAAATTGACCCTTTGTATGTATAATTTACTTTTTCTACATTATAAATTCCCTGCCTTACAACGGAAATATTCAACTTATTATTCACGTTGTTAGGCATCATTAATTGGCCGATTTCAATATTCACTGTAATTTAAACCAATCTAGTTTTAAATAGGGAGAAGGCGACTAAAAAAACATTTAAAATTGTTAAAAAGTGAGGTTAATCATTTGACAGATGTTAGATTTTATTTATTTATTTTTAAAAATCATTTAATTATCTAGTTATTGCAGTAAATAGTAGTATGTTATTATACGAGCAATAATGCAGAAAATTATTCACAAGGATAAGGTTTGCATCCGGAGCCGTCAGACGAGAGACGTAAATCATCCGATTAAATAATGCGCATTATTTTGAGTTTATTACTATGCTTTTTCTACTCCAATTAACTAATTTATTATAACCTCACTTTTTCCCGATTTTAGATCGCCCCTCGTATATATAAACAAATCTTACCTGTTAAATTTACTTTTTCCCAATTTAAAACCCGATTGGTTTAAATAACAGTGAATATTGAAATCAGGCAATCACTAATTACAAGGTGAATAATGAGTTTAATATTCCCGTTATATTGGTTACCATTATTTACGAAAAAAAACCCTAGTAATGTCAATAATTTGCAATAGTATTACACTCGAGATTATAATATCCTGCTGCATTATCTGTCGTATTATTATTAAGTTTAATTTTTATACGCTGTATTTGCAAAAATGGCGAATGCACCGGGAAACTAATTAAAAATTGTAATAATCAAAATTAAAATAGGGTAACATCACGGATTTTAATATACAGGGTGTCTACGAATTTCATCCATAAATTTTAAGGGGTTTCTAAAAACATGGCTACGCCCCTTTGAAGATGGCTTAACTCTTTTAAGGTAAAAAAAATTCAATAAAAATAAAACCCCAGCAGTACAAAAAAATTTATAATTTGATCTATAAATGGTCATAAGGATCAAACGCATTAGTCAAAATAAAATAAAAATATCAGCATATTCTATATTTTCTAACTTGAAAACTGCCTAGCCAAAACAAAATTTAAACCGTACTCTTTATAAAAAAGTTTATTATTAGAGATAATGCAGGGTATTATTCACTCAAATCACTCAGGTGAATAATGCGGGTGACATTCACAATATCGAAATTCATTATATCGAATTCAAAATATCGAACACTTTTTATCGAAAATCAAAATATCGAAAATACAAAATGTCGAAGATCAAAATATCGAAAATTCAAAATGTCGAAAATGATAATATCGAAAATTAAAATGTCGATTTGAAAATGTCGAATAATTAAAGGTAGTGTCTCCCCGACCGTCGGACGGACGTAGAAAAGTGTGTGCTCGACCGTCGGACGGACGTAGAAATGTGTGTGCTCAACCGTCGCATATTTTAACCTCATTTTCAACTAGAGGCTAAATGCAAAGATAATACACTTGTATTATCTTTGGCTAAATGTAGCAAAGTATTCCTCAAGGTTATGACGAATAGCTGTCATTTTGGTTATGCAGGTACACTGCATTGTGCCATACCAAACTAACCCAAACTTAACAACCCAACCCAACCGACCCCGCCCCATTGGGCCCCTCCCGCCCCATTGTCACAATCCAGCCTGCCCTTAGATATATTATACCTCTATTGCTCAATGGGGCGGGAGGGGCCCAATGGGGCGGGGTAGGTTGGGTTGGGTTGGTTTGGTATGGCACAATGCAGTGTACCTGCATAACCAAGATGACAGCTATTCGTCATAACCTGTATGACAGCGGTCGAGATTTTATTTTCGATAAATTGAAAATTCGAATAAATAAAATTTCGATATTTTCATTTCGACATTTTGAATTTTCGATATTTTGATTTTCGACATTTTGTATTTTCGATATTTTGAATTCGATATAATGAATTTCGATATTGTGAATGTCACCCGAATAATGCGCATTATCTCGAGTATAATAATATAGTATACTAAAGTATACTATAGTATATATACTTTATCTACTCCAATAAGTAGTTAATTAATTGATTTTTAAAAATAAATAAATAAAATCTGACATTTCGTCACCTGAGAATTATAGTGTTCTATCTGCATTTTCTTTTTTTTATTCAGGTTAGTCTTGTTTTAAGTCTTAAAGATGATATTGATCTATCTATATATAATTGGGGTAGAAATTGTAAAGTTTAAGGTTTAAACTGTACAATTTCTACCCCAATTATATATAGATAGAACAATATGCATCTTTAATACTTAAAACAAGACTAACCTGAATAAAAAAAGAAAATGCAGATAGAACACTATAATTCTCAGGTGACGATTTGTCAAATTTTTAACCTCACTTTTTACAATCTTAAATGTTATTATAGTCGCCTTTTCCCAATTTAAAATTCAAATCAAATTCAAATCACAGTGAATATTGAAATCGGCAAATCACTGATGCCTAACAACGTGAATAATGAGTTCATTATTCACCGAAAAACCCAATATTATGCAATAGAAGTAGATAAAATATTTTACACCACTGTTATTTTTAGAAAAAAGGACCTTTTTTGTGTAAAATTGAATGAATATTTATAAAATAAAACCAAAACATCCAATAACATAACTAAAAAATAAAATGGGGGATCAATGCTCCATGAACCCCATGTTTGGGTTCCCCCTAATTTGTTAAATCTAGTGCCTGTCCCAAAATTTATTAAGTTAAGTACACCTAAAATAAAAAAATAAATGTTATTGTCGAGTGCCATCTTTAAAGGGGCTTCTATCCTTTAAAAGCATTTTTAACCCCATGTTCAATGAACATTGTTCATAGGAACTTTTTTCATATTTTGCGCTGTATAGAATTACCCCTTAAAATTTTTGGATGGAATTTAGATTTAATTTAAGACTAGCATTAAAACTAACTTAAGTCGTTGTTTTGCCTTAACAGTAAATTAAGATTGTGATAAATATTATAATAGCATTTCTATTGTTTCAAACAAAATATAAATTTACACAAAGATAATAATTGGATTTCAGCTGGTTTACAAAAATCTTCACAAACTGTACAAGTTTTACTTATATTTGACTTAATCGATTTAAATTATTAATTGAAAAATAAAACAAAATTAGCTTTAATTATTTAATAATAATAAATATTGTAATTCTAAAGTATATTCAATTGTTTCAACCTTTTCATAATTTTGCTGTTCCCTTATTTATAAAAGTATTTAATTTCAGATTTTTTTAGATCAAAACTTGGCATTCACTGCCTTTGACATGTCCGGCCATGGTCGCTACAGAGATCTATGGGAGCATTACTACAAGGACTGCCACGGAATAATTTTCGTGATCGACAGCGGTGACCGGCTTCGTTTGGTCGTGGTAAAAGAAGAACTGGACCTTTTATTGCAACATCCGGACGTTTGCAATAAAAAGATACCAATCTTGTTTTTCGCTAATAAAATGGACTGCAAGGATGCGCTTAGTAGCGTCAAAATTGCGGCTGCTTTGGGGTTGGATAAAATCATGGACAAACCGTGGCATATTTCGGCCAGTAATGCGTTATCTGGCGAAGGGTTAAACGAAGGGGTCGAATGGTTGACACAGCAAATCAGGGAAATTGTCATGGCTAAAAATTAGATTTAAGAAGATTTAAAGGAGGTAATAATATTTATGGTTTATGTTTTGGTTGTTTTGTACGGTTAGATATAAGTTTACGTTAATAAAGGTTTTTTATGGAGTTTTTTTTCATTTCCACCGCCGCACAGTGGGGTATTTGAGCGATCTGGGCGGTCAAAATTTTTTAGTGGTTAAATTGGGTCGAATTTTAATATCCTGCTGCTTTTTAGTAAATTTAATAAAATTTAAAGGATAATTGGCAAATATTTAAAGAAAATCAAACAAAATTAATTATCACAAATAAAAACTTTTTGGAAATTAATGACGAGTTAGTCAGAAAATGAGTTGCCTTCGTCAGACATTAATTCAGTATCATCTTTAGTTTCCTCGTCATCAGAATTCTGTACCGTATCGCTTTTTGCTGGAAGTTCAGCAGAAAGCAGCATTTCAATGGTTTCCTTAACCCTTCGTTAGGCGCCCGGTATTTTGTAAAGCGGTTGGTCGCACGGTCTACGATCGTAGCCCATGTTGAGTTTATTACTATGTGACCCCTTATATCTCAAATCATTAAAAATGTTAAAATATAAGTTTATTTATGTGTATACTTTGATAAACTGTATACTTTACATCAAAATATATGTATAGGAAGTGAAAAACAAAATATTTACATTTTTATACTTTAAATATCACGTAGATGTTTATTTAAAACAATAACAAAAAATTTAACAAAACATGTAGTAAACTAAACCTAACATACCAATATACATACAAAAAAAATTCACTTTATTACAACCCTTAGAAATGGGGGTATGAAAATGACAATATTTTTACTCGGCCAAGCAGGTAATACACAAATTTTCCATGTGTTCTTTGCATGCGTGATGGCCACAAGCATCTCTTGTAGACTTATCACGGGCAAACATGGCATTGGCCAACATAATTTTGACGTTCATGCCGAATGGAAAGGGGGGCTAAAACCACTTCCAATCCAAGAAGAGTACGCGCTCGTCTTTTCAGCTCCACCGCGGTAAAGAGACAACAGTTGATCTTACTTCTATCTGTGGCCTGATTAATTTCCAGGCAAACTTCTCAATAAATTCAGTTCTAGATAGTTTTTCTTGGGGATGGTTTGCTTTATAAACGCAAAGGGCATTTATACCAGCTATATTCAAAAGATCATAGAAAATGACCTCCACATCTACACTGTTACACTTTTTTTTGTGATCTCTCACTTAATTCTTGAAATATTTTCTTAGGCCGCCCCGGTCGACTAGTAACTTTCAAAATTGTAAATTTAACTTTCAACAAATCTTTATTCTTTTTAGTAAAAGTTTCCTCTTTATTATATGCTGCAGCCCATCGAAATTTTATTTCAGACTTGAAACGTGAAAAATTATTATTGATTTCCTTTATTTTGTCAACAGTGTAATCGTCATAACCTATCAGGAAATTTTCCATGAAATCAAGTTTCTCATTAATTGTGGGAACATTTTGTTTCTGCATCATGTTGAAAAGCTTAATTCGAGTAAAAACTTTGACGTTTGATGGACCTAAGAGAAATAAAAAATCATTAGAAACATAAATCAAGATTTGCTAAATAATTGTCATTTCGAACCTTTACAGGTTGGACACTCTGATTTCCAAAAAACAAGTGATTCCGTGGCAGTTTTAAGCGAAGTCGTAAACATGAATAATCATGATATATGATTCAAGTTTTTATTTTGGCGGGGAACTCCGGGAAGTACAACTAATTTGGTCCTTTTTAAAAATTATAAGCCAAACCAAAAGCAATAATAAGCTATTTTAAATTTCACATATAAGGCTCATAATAGAAACTTATCTTAATAAAAATACCTGAAAAGTATGCTCACTTACCTGCCATCGTATAATCCAAAACAATACACTTGAAATTAAAACACAAAACGAAACTATCACCTTTGAAAAATAATAATTTTGAAGTAACGCCGCAAACAACAATTTCACTTCAAATGTTAAAAGTTTCGACTGACTGTGAAGGTATGTTTACACGTGTGGGACGGTAATAATAGTAGATTATTGTTCTCTTATGATCATTCTTTCGAGGAATAATTTGTTTTTCTACCCGAATTTACTTTTTTAAAATCGATTTTTAACCGCCCAGATAGCTTAAATACCCCTCTGTGCGCCGTATAATAAAATACATAGAAAAAGTGGTTCCATCTACTCTCTAAAAATGAATACGTCAAAAATAACTAGTTACTATAGTTACTGTATACAGTTATTGGTGGCTGCTTTTTCACTTATACCATGGTTAACCATGGGATACCATGGTATCCCCAACATTAAACGGCCAATTCTTAAGTATCCATATTATATGGAAAATTGATTATAAATCAAAAACGGTTCTACTTTTCTAACTTTTGTCGACATTTTCGGATTCAGGGGACATGTCCCCTGCAATTTTACGTGTAAATTGACTGTTAAATGTTTGGGATACAAATTGCTATTGACGAGAATTATTAGTGGTTGCTTTTTCGCTATGACAATTAGTCATTTTTGACTAATTCATTTTTAGAGATTATTTCCCTCATTATAATATGAACCAATCAAAAGCCTTGAATTTTCGAATAAATTTCGTTTAAATAAGCGATTAAATCACTAGAACTATTTAACAGCGATTAAATTTTAGCCTCCATATTGGATTTTTGTTTACGATTTTATGGTGTTATTTACAAGTTTTAACAAACATTTTTTAAAAAACATTAAAAAATAAGTTATCTAGTTTACGAAATATCAATTATTACTTATTACATACCTTAAATTAATGGAATTTTCTTTAAAAAAATATTTATAAATTTTGACACATACCTCAGATTTTATGAATTGTCAAATAGTTTTCTTTAATTCGAGAAATAATCTAGACGTATATCACTCAACCTATAAATTTAATCTGTCAAACTATGCTCAGTAAGTTTTTTATTTGATTTTTCTTTTTGGAAAATGGTTTCATGCAAAATAATTAAAAATAAAACCCCTCGACCGCTACGCGGTCTTGTGATTTTATTAAATTATTTTGCATTCAACATTTTCAAACAAAAACCAAACAAAAAACTACTGAGTCTAGTTTAACCAAATAAATTCATAGTTCTCGTGATATAATATATGATTATTTCCCACAATATAATATGAACCAATCAAAAGCCTTGAATTTTCGAATAAATTTCGTTTAAATAAGCGATTAAATCACTAGACCTTTTTAACAGCGATTAAATTTTAGCCTCCATATTGGATTTTTGTTTACGATTTTATGGTGTTATTTACAAGTTTTAACAGACATTTTTTAAAAAACAATAAAAAATAAGTTATCTAGTTTACGAAATATCAATTATTACTTATAACATACCTTAAATTAATGGAATTTTCTTTAAAAAAATATTTATAAACTTTGACACATACGTCAGATTTTATGAATGGTCAAATAGTTTCCTTTAATTCGAGAAATAATCTAGACGTATATCACTCAACCTATAAATTTAATCTGTCAAACTATGCTCAGTAAGTTTTTTATTTGATTTTTCTTTGTGGAAAATAGTTTCATGCAAAATAATTAAAAATAAAACCCCTCGACCGCTACGCGGTCTCGTGATTTTATTAAATTATTTTGCATTCAACATTTTCCAACAAAAACCAAACAAAAAACTACTGAGCCTAGTTTACCCGATTAAATTCATAGTTCTCGTGATATAATATATGATTATTTTTGACGTTTCTAAAAGCCAATAGAAATTTTGAATTTTAGTCATGTGTGTACGTTTAAGCCTATCAAAAGATTATTATATCGGAAATAATATGTACTAGAATTTATTTTCGCGAAAATTTTATGACCTGTCAGATGACAGATATTTGTCATCGGTATTATAAAATGAATAGCAAAAGATTTAGTTCAACATCGGAGGATGAAATAAACGCTCAAATTAGAAAAAATACATAAAAAAATACTCAAACCAGCAATAAATCAATTTGGAAACAATTTCAAACGTTTTGTAGTGAAAAGGATACACCCTTGAAGAAACTACACCAATTACAAAACTGGCATAAATTTTGAAAGATTGGGGATATAACATGAAACGGTGTGATGGAACAGATTGTATAGAATTGGTTATAAAAATTATGTGTAATAACACCGCCAAATTAATGGAAGAATTTTATTAAGTATAACAAATTTAACAGAATATTGAACCCTTTTAAGGACGTGGAATTTAAATGTGCACGAAATACAAAGCGTAAAATATTACAAAAGGAACCTGAAAAAAGAAAACAAAGTTCGGTAACTTTAACAAAAGAAGAACTTATCGATATGATAAAATGTTACAATGAAGACACGCCGTATGGCTTGCAAAAAAAGTTCATATCATATTGCTTCATATGAATTGGCATGGTGTGGAGGAGAAGCAAAGCAATGTTTAGTATATTATTTTAAAGAAGAATGCGACAATGCTGGTTTAATAAGTGAAAGATTTGATAATGCAGTATTTTCCAAAACATCTCAAGGTGGAACACAAAGATGTGCTAATAGTAAATGGTTAATACCAAACCCTAAAAAGCATGATATTTGTCCTGTACGATTGCTCAAAAAATTGTTAAGCAAGCGAAACGAAAATATTACTACCGACAGGCAATTTTTAACAGTAAACATTACTTGGGACAACATAAAATCTTCAGGATGGTACATAAATATGCCAATTGGCATAAACACAATTTCAAAATGGATGAAAGAATCTGCAGAAATGATTGGCCTGGATACTAAAAAAAATAAAATTACTAATCACTCTGCAAGATCAACTGCAGTATCTCATCTAGCTAAAGCAGGTGTAAATGAGCAGGAAATAATACAAATAACAGGCCAACAGGAGATCTAGCTCATTAAAACCTTATCTGCAACTGGATAATGAACACCCCAGATAGCACAAAGAAGTACTGGAAACGTCCTGAGTATATCTTGTATCAGACATTAGTAAGTCCCGAGTACGTCCGAATCAGGTCCTGAACCTTCCGCAGGACGTACCAGGGACATCTGATGTTACCAAATCGTCGGTCCCCAGAACGTCCTAAGTAAGACATCCTCTAGCCG